TTATGATTTGTTCTAGTTCTGTGAAATATGTCCTGGGTAATTGGATAGGGATTGCATTAAATCTGTAGATTGCCTTGGGCAGTGTGACCATTTTAACAATATTGATTCTTCCAATCCAAGAGCATGGAATATCTTTCCATTTTTAAAATATATTTATATATACTTAAAGACCAAATGAGTCTTTCTGCAGACTGCCAGTGACCTCTTTGTTCCATTGTAGACCAATGGTACATAGTGAAGTGAAGAGTAAAAAGTTTCCGTTAAGAAAGAAAGCCATGTATGCCTTTGAAACTGCGCTAACAGTTTCAGTGGGTTAGTGGGTGTGTGTAGGGGCAACAGGGAGTGGTGAAAGAGGAGAGAGCACTCACCCAGCCAGCCATGTCTGTAGATTAACCCTGGGACCAGTCGAATGACAGATGTCATGGCCAGATTCCTCTCTTACACTACAGATTTGGAAGATGAGGGGTAGAGAGTCATTACAGTCCTACTCAGTGACACCAGATATGTTAACTTACGAAGCAAAAAATTCTCATTCAGCAATTTAAACTGATAGCTCATATTATTTTTTTAAATTGAGGTATAGTCAGTTTATAATGTTGCATCAACTTCTGGTTACAGCATAATGTATCAGTCATACACATACATACATATATTCCTTTTCATATTTTTTCACCATAGGTTACTACAAGATATTGAATATAGTTCCCTGTGCTGTGCAGTAGAGACTTGTTTATTTTATATATAGTAGTTGGTATCTGTAAATCTCATGCTCTCAATTTATCCTTCCCACCCACTTCCCCTTTTGTAACCATAAGTTTGTTTTCTGTGTCTGTGAGTCTGTTTTGTAAATAACTTCATTTGGGTCTTCTTTTAGATTCCACATTGAAGTGATATCATTCAGTGTTTTTCTTTTTTTTCTTGGCTTACTTCACTTGGAATGACGATATCTAGGTCCATCCATGTTGCAGCACATGACGTTCTTTTATTCTTTTTTATGGCTAAGTAGTATTCCTGTGTGTGTGTGTGTGTGTGTGTGTGTGTGTGTTGTGTGTGTGTGTATACACCACAGCTTCTTTATCCTTTTATTCTTTGTTAATTTGAACTACTATGTCTGTTCTCCTACATATCATAACATAAAAAATGAATAGTTAGAAGTGCGTTTTAAAAGACAGATTTTATAGATTGAAAGAAAACTTAGTTTAGCAATTCCATTCTTAGGAAATTTTTTTGGAGAATATCATGTCCTTACCTATTATTTCTTCATTTCCTTGTTAACCAAAACTGATCAGCAAAAATGTCCACAGCTGTAACAATATGTTTTGAATGTTTCTTTTAGCTGAATGAGAATAAAAATAATTGCTTAAACATTTGAGAAGTCAGTTGAGACTTTTAAATGTCATAAAACCCAGTATTCATGGCCAAATAGTGACACACATGAGATTTGAAATCTTGAATTAGTAAATTGACTCCTGTTTACATTGTTGGAAGAGAAGACAAGAATTAACTGAAGAAATATAACTACTTTCTCCTTGTTGAAAATGGAAATATGAAGCTAAGTTTGAATAATATAAATAATAGCATATTTAGGAACTTGGAGACAATTTGTTTTTAATTCTTAGCAAACCTCTTTAGTGTGTAACTTTTCCCCTAAATAGTCATTTGTTCCTGTTCATCTTTCAATCTGGTATGTGTCAGTATGGTATGTTACAGCTGAAGAGCGCCTTGACATCCATTGTTACCTGAGTTTTATGACAACACTGTCAGGTAGACTGGATTGACTTTTTATACCCATTTTACAAATGAAAGAACTAAGGCTCAGAGAGGAATGTGACTTGTTCTTCATAGACAAGTTCTGTGACATTCAGCTTCATAGAACTGAATAAATGAGAGGAAGAGTGGATGGTGGTTAAATTCAGAGGCTTATACTCAGGTAGGACTTTGGTTGGAACCTGGGTTTTGCCATTTCTGTATCAATTGTTTTACCTTAGACTGTTTAATCCTGTGACCTTATTCTTAGGTAAAGAGAGAATAATATCTGCCTGATTTTTTGTGCAGAGTAAGTTAGAGAACACAATTTATGTAAAATACCTAGCAT